ATAGAGTCGGCACAAAAGTGGCATATCAGTGATAATGGTTTACTCAATTGCTGAAAGGGTGCAAACAATGGATGTGTTCATAGAATTGTTTAACAATTTAACTGTTTAATAATCAAAATCGACAAGTCCATCGCAAGTATATTTTAGGAAACAAGGTTAGTAACTAACAAATAACGTGAAATGAAAAATGCTTTAGTGAATGGTACAGAGGTGGCGATTTTAGGGCATGTTGTTCAAGAACCCACATTGAGCACAAGACAGAAGATATTGAAAAACACAAGTGTCATCCCTAAGAAATATATCTGGTACAAGAACTTAACTAAAACGATTTTGATAGGTGATTACAATTTTGTGAAATTATGACTGAACAAGCAATAAATGATTAGCAATTTCTTTTCAACGTGTTTTTCTGACGAATACACTTTTTTCTTAAATAGTACGGTAAATTGTCACAACTCTCGTTATTGGTCCGATTCAAATCCCAAAATATTTCATGAACTGCATATACGCAACATCCAAAAAAACTGAATATTTGAACTGGAATTTTTGGCCCCTTTTTTACCTGGAACTCTAACCGCAGAAATGTATCTGGAATTATTAGAAAACGACATTCATCCAGCATTACTAGAGTTGATTGAGAATGACGATCAGTAGGTACCTATATAGCAAACAACTTAATAGTACAGCAACCCCATTTTGCACTGACTGTTCGTCAGTATTTGGAACAAATGTTTCCAGGTGAATGGATCGGAAGAAGAGGAAGTATTGAGTGGCCCCCACGGTCTCCAGATCTAACCCCGTTAGATTTTTTATGGGACCACTTAAAACATACAATTTATGCCACCCAGACAACATTACTGTAAAATCTGCGACAACGGATAATTGATGACACTAACGATTTAAAACTCGGGGGTTATAATATAGGTAAAAATATCTTCAAAAGAGGATTTTAGGGGGTAGTTTCACCTCCGCTAAAGGGTTTCCGTTCAGGAGGTGAAACTGGCAAAACAATATTTCCCCCTAAAATCAAAATTGACGGGTCCGAGCGTATTTTCGTAAATGACCTGAGGTGCCCAAAATTGGCTCTGTTTTGTTTTCAAATGGCCACCCTGTATATATACAATACTCCATTATGTGTATATTAATAAATCATCAAAAATCTTCTAAATTCATGATAGTTAATAAATGTTTTATATTGTGTTTCTACTTATTTTATTGGTACTCTAGCACCGCAGAACTACTGAATACCAATGATGGCTGCACCAAGCATATAGGATTGCCAGAGGCCAGATATCCCGATTTAGGTGGGAGCCTCCAGCATACCGATTGTTGATACTCTTGTCTGCCGCTTCAATCCTCAAAACTCCAGTAATTCGAAATTGGACAATACCTTTTTTTTTAAGAAAATTTTCATAAAGTCAACGATTTAAAATGACTTTAAAGTACTTTTAAAAACCGGTGGTGACCCTAAGTGTTGTGTGGATGGGGGGAAGGAGTTCCCATTTCCCGTATAGAGGTCGGGCACCCAAAGCAATTTTTGAGTTCCGGCGCCTATGCATCCCACATATCTACATAAGTACATATCAAAACTTTAATATACTATCTACAATTAAACAATAATTTGAAGAAACAGATGAAGCCGATTTACCTATTTAGACAAAATTACTATTATTGTGTTATTTATTAAAACACATTATTTTTTAGTAAAAATGAACAAGCAAAAGTCAGCAATGAGGGTAGGACAATAGCAAGAGCAAGAGCAAGAATACTTTGGAATGTGCTGTGAAATACACTTAGAAAGGAGGGTCATATGGAGAATTAAGTGTGATAACATTTTGCGATGTATATTTCACTATTTTAGTTCACAGATTTCTGCAAATGTTCAATTATATGCTATTTCAAACTTAGTATCTTTTGATAAAAGAAGTTGAATGTTATTGTTGACCGTTTTAAACTGTTTCTTTTACCTTATACATTTTTTTACTCTTCACACAGTATTCTGTGAAAAGTATTATCGGTTTACTTTTTCTGTCCGTCCGATAAGTCGAAAACAAAAAATGATATCAACTTGAAAATTTTAAGCAAAAATCAAGGACAAAGACTATTGATTTTTAACAAATCTGATTAAAAATAGGGGATTAAGATGGGTTGAAATTAAAAAAAAAATCCTAAATTAAAACCGAAAAACTATATCAACATGAAATTTTTAGTAAAAATTAAGCTTTATAAGAAGATAAAGCCTATTGATACTGAAAAAAATATGAATATATTGGCGAGTTATGGGTGGTTAAAATATTTAAAAAAGAAATCCTAACTGAAAAATGAAAAATGATATCAACTTGAAATTTTTAGCAAACATCAAGCTCTAAAAGGAAAAGTCCTTTAATTATAAAAAAAATCTGATTAAATATGGGGGATTTAAGGGGGTTGAAATTAAACAAAAAAAAAATCAAAAATGAGAATCGATATCAACATGAAATGTTTAGTAAAAATCTAGCTCGATAAGGAGATGAGGCCTATTGATTGTGAAAACAATCTAGTTGAAAATGGGGATTAAAGAGGTCTGTTAAACTGCGAAGAGTATCATTTAGAATGCCAGGCATTATATATCTTTATTCTAGTTTGTATCTGTGTGATATTATGTATTGTGATGGACTGATCTTATAAAATAAACATTTAAAACATTTTAGTTCTTATTTTATTTGCCAATGAAAGGTATTTAAAAAATATATTTTTATTTGACATTTGTGACAAATTTTAAAAATGATTAAACTTACAATAAAAACTAAAAAATGGTAGATAAAATTTCATATAAAATTTTTTACACAAAAATCAATGTCAAGCTTTCTACATAACCTGATATATATTTAAAAATAATCTCAAATTTACTAACTATTAATGTTAATAGATGGTTTTCAACGTATTAAAAACAAAACAAATATAACACTAACTAAAATATTCATTTATTAATAGTTGTAGTGCTTGAAAACAGTATGATGTTGGTAATAATAACTACACTTCATACAAACTCAAATAAAAAAAATAGCGATCTTGTACAAAGTTTTGAACCGCTCACAAATGATAAAATTATTGGAAAAAGTGAACACCCATTTTAAATTACCACGCCACTGATTCTAAGTAATCCAATTACTAAGAGAATTGTGTGGAAGTTACCCACAAGATTTAATACACAGTCAACTTTTGAAATATGATTTCTAAACATTTGGAAACATTTCAAAAGTTCACAGTGAATTAAATAGTGTGGGCAACTTCCACACGATTCTATAAATAATAGGGTTTTTAGGAAAATATATTTTTCTACAACAAAGCAATATAATTTTGGTCAAAAATTAGGGTTTGTTTATCACAAATAATGTTTAATTTAATAAGTAAAAATTAATAGTTTATTTTAAATATATCATATCATTTTTTTTACTCCGATACTTTATTATCTGTTAAATATTGAGAAACATTTTTTAAAATAAATATAATTTGCCGAGCCGATAAATTTTTTAGAAATAAAAAAATATAGTTAACCAGGGCAATAAATTTTTTATGACAAAGAAATATATTTTACCCCAGACAATATTTTTTTTATGATAAAGAAATATAACTTGTCGATAGAATATATAACCTTTTTAATAGATAAATTTAGTTAGCCTGCAAAAATAAGTATTTGTTATTGGAAAAATACTTCATTTTAATTTAAATGCTTTCAAACATTAATATAAATATTTTGCCATTATAAATTAATAAATGTTGTTTCAGACAAATATGATACACCTGTAGGTACAAGAATAAATATATGTTCGACAGATAATTCATTTTATTCATGACAATAAATATGTTTTTATACGTAAGCAATATTACTTTCCGAACTTGAAATAAATCATTTCTTAACGACAAATTAAATATTAGTTATGCATATGGAAATCATATTTATTTGACATAATAAGATTTTAATTGTCATAAATAAATATTTTTCTCGGTGTAGGTATCCCTGCTTAATCTTTTTGTTTCCCTGTTTATAAGTAGCATACCTACTTAGGTATGCATTTAAATTAAATTAGGTAGGTAAATCAGTTCAAGAATAATTTGGGGTTGGTCCGGATTTTAAATCATATAGGTATACCTACCTATAATATCTGAGATATTAATGAATAAACCTACCTATAGGTAGTAAGTTGTCAAAAAATCATAAATTATAATACTTAGAATTTACTTCAAGACATGACGAATAATAGGTAATTAATATACCTAAGGTATAGGTAATCGCACCTCATTTTCCCTATTTAAATTAGACAACGTTAATAGTGATATCTAATATTAATATTATTAATAAATGTCATGAGTTGTTTTTATAGTTAATAACTATGTTCTTGCAGGTAATAATAGATATATATTTTTTATTTTATACCTACATTTGTTTATCATTATATGAAATAAAATAGGTACCGATCTCAATTTAAAAATATTTTAGGCAACACCTACTAGGTATATTATAAATATTTATTGGTAGATTTGTTATACTTAGGTTTTCTTTTATTTGATCATTTCATACTGTTTTTTTAATTAAATTTCCAATAATTTTTCTACGTATATATTCTCTTGGTATAAAATTACCTATTGTTAAACTAAAATTGTTCCGTTTTTTTTTAATTTTAAAAATGCTGCATCGAAAATTACCCAAAATAATAACAAAAACAATTTAATTAATTTTGTATTACCTATAATAATAATATCAACAAAATAAATACTAAAACAGAAAAATCACAACAAAAAGTAGGTACGTACTTTTTTTAACAGTAAACTCAGTCTTAAATTCCCAAAAAGAAAGATCCAAAGCTTCCTTCCAAAAAATCTTCTGTACAGTTGAAAGAAATCACTTCATCAGTTGATTGTGAAGCTCTGTTGGAGCAGCAATTGGGCAATTCCTCATGAGAAGCCAGTCCATTAGCTTCAAAATCACACCAATTATTGAGATAAATCTTCTACTAAAGCTCGTCCATAAATATCACATTATAACTGTGAAACTCTAAACAATTCTTCGGCCGAAGCTAGTCCATAAGCTTCGTAGTGAGCTGCGGCTGGTTGCATCAATGCCATAGGATTAGTAAACGCTAAATCGTAGCAGGAAGAGACCATCCAAGGATGCACGTGAGGCACCACGTGTGTAGCACTAGGAACAACAGGGGTTATTGGTTTATCGGGAGATATTAAACTTTCTATAGTAAAGGATCTTTTAGGCCTTATACAGGTGACTGATGTGTCCGGCGTTTTCGTTATATTAGGCGGAGACGCTTGCGGGACCACAACCGACGGATGGGCAGCAGGATTGATGTCCGCAGCGGGATTGGGCGGCGCGAAAAATATCCTGTTAATGTTCGTTAGCGCGGCTAGTTCATTTTCCAGGATTTCTTTATCGCTTTTGAGCAGTTTGAAGCGTTTTCTCCGTCGCAGAAGCGAGCCATTTACGAACATGTCAAAAGCGGCAGGATGCAGTGCCCAGTAAGCTCCTTTGCCTGGCCGATCGGGCTGTCTGGGTATCTTGATGAAGCAGTCGTTGAACGATAGATTGTGTCTCAAAGAATTCTGCCACCGTTGCGTGTTTTTCCTATAGTACGGGAATCTATCAGTGATAAACTTGTAGATTTCCGATAACGGAAGCATTTTTTCGGGAGAATTCCATATAGCCATCGCCGTTAACGATATATAAGAGTACGGGGGTTTTTGGTCACCATAAGAGTCTCTTGAAGGCCTAGGCATTGTGGTTTTTATCACTTAAAAAGAACGCACTGAACAAACACACCAACTGTTGTGCTATCAGCTAAACAACTGTTTGAACTGATGTCTTGTATCATTCACCGGGTATAAAATGGTGGTAACCGCCCAGCTGCGCGCCGATTGGTCGCTCTCTTACAATGGCATTTCTGTCCCGGCCCATTCTGCTTTTACGGTCCGGCCAATTGGTGAAAAGGACTTGTTCGGCCGGTCGGCCAATAACGGGACACTTTCGTATTTAATAATAAATTGCTTTATTTGAGTAAGATTCATTTAATATGGCTGATGTAGTTAAATTAAATTTATGTTATCATTTCGGCTTAGTAAACACCGTTATGTTAGGACGAAAGCCATTATATTTTATTGAATATGGTTTATGGTCGGTAACTGTTTATTAGCTCATTTACCAAAATGTAAATTATCGTTTTGTTTTTGGGCATGTTTTGTGACTTTGATAGGTAGTCGCTGCGCTTTGGAGGGTGAGGTTTTCAATTGTAAAATTTTTATAATTAACTATTGTATGGATTTAAATTGCTAATATGGTAGGTACAGATAGGTATGATTTTAGGTTATTAAATATTAGATAATAAAAAATATGATTTTGATTTGTTTTCGTTCTATGGAAAAGAATGTATCTATATAAGTATTTGCATTACACAAAATCTATGAAGGATGCAATTAACGTTTATTTTTTATTTCGCTTTTAATACTATATTTAAACCTATAGTTGATTTTTTTGCAATTAATACCTATATTATTAACATTATTTTAAGTTGCATAAAACACGTATTGAAAACGTTGTTGTATCAAAACATTTTATCGTTTGATTTATGTTTTAAAGTAAAAATATACGTTATTTCAATATTAATTAATTAACTTATATTTTAATATTATTTTTAAACGTTTTTATGTTAGTAAAAGTTAAAAATTTTGTTAAATATACGAATGTTATTACCGTTAATTTAAATTAAATACATGTCCTATAGAAAACATTAATGTATTCGTAACTTTTAACGATTGGTTAATAATGTAAATCAAATATCTACGTTATTTTAATATAATTTTAAAACGTTGTTATGTAATTGTGGTTCTTCCGAGAGTTGAAAATTTTGTTTAATAAGTATACGTTAAATAGTAACGTACCTAACGTAATAGTTAATTAAATATAGGTATCTTAAATTTTTTAACGTTGTTATGTAACGGAAAGTTATAAAATTTTGTTAAATATACATATATTAACGTTAATTTAAATAAATAAGTATAATTCATATAGAGTGGGTCGTGCAATAGGCAGTTAAAATGAAATCTTAGTTTCCACTGTGAACCTACACGGAAATTAAATTGTAGAACAAATTTCTACAATTGTAGATTTTTTCTCTACAATAAATAGTACATATAGGGACAGGGACAATTTGTAGTAAAAATTTCCAAATATTTGTGGAGAATGTATTGTAGAGTTATTATCTACAATATTTAGTAAAAAGATCCAAATGCATCATAAGAATTGTTCAACAAATTGTTATAATTTTTGCTATTCATTGTATGAATTTATATTAAAAATGTATTGCGTTTTATAAAAATAAATACTAAAATTTTACACAATAAATAGTAATTTTTAATAAAATTTGTAGTAGTATTCCATAATTATTATAATTATAACCTAGAAAAAAATGTTCCTTAATAAAATATTCAATTTATTGTTTTAATATAAAAGATACAAATTCTTAATTACATTATGTAATAAATAACAGTAATAATAGCGCCCTTAGTCTCAGTTGGCTTTTCTGCACCTGAAAAATATGAAATAAAAATGAATACCAATTGAACTGTTCATACCCTTAAAACGGGGATATTTATCACCGGTACACTGATTTGGATATTAAATGACTAAGTCAGATAACTAACAAAAATGAGAAAGTAGGTATGTCACAATTAAGACAAAAAAACATCATCGAACTTGGCACAAAATTCGATCGTTGGGCACAACATTCGATCGTTGGCCACAACTATTTTTTTTAAATAATCTACTAAGGTTATTTAAATTAGTTATCTAAAGGTTAATTATTTAGAAACAATAATAAATGTACTTACCATCAATAGAATTTATTATTAAAATTTTCTCAAACGCATCGGTGCTTGTAATATAATAATGTGTTATAGGTACTCGTATATGTACCATGCTTTGTTATGTGAACATGGCGAACGGCTACTGCTGTCTGACCGTTTATGATCGACGTCAGAAAACGTTGGCCAATAGCAGAATTCTGTTTTGTTCACATGACTTAGAATTTCTACAATATTAAAGAATATTTTTAAACAAAATTGAATTTTTTTCACAAGAAGGGATGTAAAGTATTACTATTTTTTGTAGAGAAAATTACTATTTTTTGTAGAGATAATTATTAATATTTGTACAAATTTTTACAGAAGTTAGTAGTAGTAATTACGATAATTGTAATAAATTTCTACTTCTACAAACAATAGTAAAATATACTAAACATTGTGGACTTTTTTCCTATTGTTGTAGTATTTTATTCGACAATTCAATTGCTACAATAATTCATAGTTTTTAACTATAAATTGTAGTAAAATTTTCTACAAATTGTTAAGTATTTTTCTACAAGTCTACTACTACAACATTGTAGTAAAATTTTCTAGTCACATTTTTTTCCGTGTAGTCGTTGTATAATCATCAGTTATTTAAAAATGACATTTGTATACTTTAAATATAACCAGTTAGAAATTAAACTCCTGTTAGCTAAACCTATTTTTTTAACTTTGTTTTGAATTTGTAGTTCTACCGAAAGGTAAAAATTTTGTTAAATATACGTGTAATATTATCATTAGTTTAAATTACATAAGAGTCGTAATAAAAATGTTATTGTATCGTTATATTTTAAACTAAAAATTAACGTTGTTTTAATATTTATTATTTATGTGTTAGGGTAAGTCCGGGTGAGATGCCCCACCGGGATAGATGGCAAAGTGCCGCTATTCGGCTAGGCGATAACAGATGGAGCTGCCGATACGCCAGTTCGTTATTTAATAACACTCGAGATGATTTGAGGATCATGGCATATGAATTTGCAGAAAGAAAAAGCTGGTTACGATTGGTTAAATTTGTTTCTGTTACGTCACCCAGATTTGTCTGTGAGAAAGGCTGAAGGAGTTTCCGTAGCCCGAGCTGAAGGTATGTCCCGTAAAAAGGTCTTGGCTTATTTTCAGCTATTACATGTAATTCTAGAAGAAAACAACTTATTCGAGTCACCGGGATCTATCTATAATATGGACGAAACTGGGCTACAGCTCAATAATAAAGTGGGTTACGTTATAGCCCAAAAAGGGTCAAAAGATGTATTCACAATTACATCTGGAGAAAAGGGGGAAACCATAACGGTTATCGCATGTTGCAATGCAGAAGGCATTTTTCTACCCCCTGCTTGTGTTTTTAAAGGCAAGTATAAAAAGGATGAATTCCAAGATGGCATGCCAAACGGATCAGTAATTTACATGAACCAGAAGTCGGCGTATGTAAACTCAGATATTTTTCTATTATGGTTGAAAAATCATTTTCTTCCAAGAAAAGGGGTAGGAAAAGCACTTTTGATCGTCGATGGTCATACATCCCACTGCAGTGCCGAAGTATTACAACTTGCGGAAAGAAATGATATTATTTTATTGTGCTTGCCAAGCCACACTACTCATTACCTTCAGCCTTTGGATCGTGGAGTGTTTAAATCATTAAAATCTGCATTTAACAAAGCGTGTTACCTTTTTATGAAAACAAATCCAAGCCGAAAAATAACTAGATTGCAATTTGGCAGACTATTGGCCGAATCATGGACAAAAGCAGCAACTAATGATAATGCAGTTTCTTCATTTAGAGCCACGGGAATTTTTCCTTATAACCCTGAAGCTGTACCGGAACATGCCTATCATGTTTCTGATGCTGCAGCAGTTTTTGCAATAGGTGCTCTACCTTTTAAAGATAATGAAATAGGTTCTGATTGTGGATTATCTAAACCTCAGTCAAACCAATCTTTAACATTTCAATGTCGAACTTCTGATCCTCAAGCCAGTTCATCTTTAGTACCTGATCGTCAATCTCCTGAGCCTCGACCTGGTCCATCTTCAGTTCCTCGTTAACAGTCACCAAAAATTCAACATTGCTCATCCTCATCATCCGATAAACCTGAATCTGCTGGAAAAATTCTAGAGAATATCTCACCCTTGCCTATAATTCCTGTAGTATTAAAAAATCGAGGTAGAAAAGTTGCAACTATATTAACTTCAACCGAAAATATAGAGAAGGCAAGATTATTAAAAGAAAGACTTGCAAAACGTAAAGGTGTGGTACAAATAAAATCTGTTTCAAAACCAATTAAAAGGGCAAAGAAGACCAAGCCTACATTGCCTTCCTCTGAGTCAGATGAAGATTTTGAATCCAAAGAAGACAGTGATAGCGACATCAATGAGGAATTTAATGAGAACGAATGTGTTGGATGTCTGGAGGACTACAACACCACAACTCGTTCAGATGACTGGATCCGTTGCATTGATTGCAATCGCTGGATGCACGAAAATTGCACTAAATTTAAAAATAAGTGTGACTCATGTGGGAAATACGGCCGAAAATAATTAAAAGACATTTTTCTGTGTTTCTGTTAATCCAAAGATTTTATTTTAGATTGAGCCATCTATCCCTGACAAGCTGGGAGAGATGGCAAAGTCCTATTTTTAATAAAGAATTATTTTTTCGTTAAATTTTATATAAATTAATTTGTTTGTGTTTAAAAAATGCTTAAATAAACTTTGCTTTTACCGTTGCGTCATTTGTTTTCGACATATAAATTTTGCATTTTGAAAAAAATATTTTTTTCGAATTGTAGGGCATCTCACCCGGACTTACCCTAATATTATTTTTAAACGTTGTTATATAACTAAAAATAGATAATTTTGGTAAATATACATATATAATATCAACG